AAACTGCAAGCACTATTTGTTCTCCCAATACGAAATTGTACCAAATATAGTACTATTTAGTAATTTTACAAAATTCCAGCATAATCCGCTCACCTTAAATTCAATAACATTTAGTCCAGTTCGGATACTTAGTAAATATTTCAAAATCATTCTCAAGTTTTTAGCTCTATCCATAATACTAAATGGTACCATTTTAGCTGTTTAGTTCCATTAAAGTACTTTTCCGAACCTTTAAGGTCGAATTTTGAAAAACCCTTTAGTATATCTATCCTGAAGCCCATCAGTGGATTTCATTCCAAATTCCGGAATTCTAGTTCATTCCGTTTGTCCCATAGAAAGTATTCAAGTTGTAGTTCATTTTACTACGTTTCGTACCCTTTTAATGTGAATTTCCATTAACCCATTAAAAACGCCTAGGCAATAAGACTGACCCTCGTGCAAATGTTCAAAATTCTATTTTCAGCCGTTTCGTCTGAGCGCTGATTCTCCCTCAGTCGCTATTTCCCTACTCTTTTATAAATAAATTTAAACACTCGCAAGTTATTCCAGGAATGAAAATTATCTGCCACCAAAGCTTCCTTCCTAGGAAACTTTAAACAGAATTTAAATATATTTTAAAAATTTACATAACCATCCGGCCAAGAAGCCAAACCAAACCAAGTCAAGGAAAAAAGAAAACAGTGTTATGTATTTTAGAATGGATCGACATTTTGGGATGAACAAGTGTTAGGTTTGTGCTGTTGTCATTACCATTCTCCCGGCTCTCTGATGGCCTTTGAAGTTAACAAGAATTCTTTTATAATTGTTATGGGTAGGTTTTTTTGGCTAATAAATGATTGCCACGATGGTGTTTTGCCATTGTGATGTGCCACGATCCAAAGTCGTAGGCAAGACATTGCCATGCGATAGCATTAATACTCCAGCCATGCTGCCATTGTGTGGACCATTGTAGCCAGGGTCCTGGTCAAAAGTTTTCCCCCCAGAAAGGATTACACAATTTTTGATTGTTTTCCTTCGTTTGTCGTTTTTTCTTGTTTTGTTCGTTGGTATTTCGATCTTTTTTTTTGTGTTCTTTGTTTTAACAGCGAAGAGCATTATTGTGAAAAGCCATCAGCTAAAAGGGTTTTGCACTTGCGTGCCAGATTACAATATCTCATAATAGTCGTTAAAACAAAACAAAAAAATAGAAGAGAAGGGAGAGGAGAGGAAAGGACGACGACGAATGAAATTGTAAGTTAGTGGCATTAAAAAGTTGTTTCATTTTGCATTGTTGCAAAGAACAAGTCATTAATGTTTCGTTTCATTGTCTTCGAGTTGTTTTATTTGCATTTTTTTGTTTTTCTTTTCATTTCTCCGTTTTGTTTAAATAGTTTCGTTATTTTTGCCTCTCCAAAGCCTGACCATATACTGTTGTGCTGAACATGGCTTTCGGGTGGCATCGTAATGGGGATCCACTTAACCTCTTGTTGTATTTTGTGTGGGATAATATTTAATGGAGGGGATTTGAGTGACTTTTTGGAGGAACTAATTAATCACAAATGAATACTATTATTTGCTTTTGTGTATTGGAAAATTTGTCAAGGAATTGGAAATTAATGATGTTTTCAGTTGGAGACATTTATTTTTTGTGATTTCGATATGTGTTTATTGCTCGGAATAGAAAAATGAATATGTGCTTACATCGATGTTGTTAGTTGTTCTGTTCCATTTTACAGCTAAATATAATCCAATTGTCATCCAAAATGGTACAATTCTTCCCTGTCCTTAACTCTCTTCTTAAACGTGTTGATTAGCTTCAATTGTGTGATCAGGATTTTTTTTCCTGTTTTTGCTCCCTTTCAATCCCTAAATATATTGGGGACATCTTTGAAAACAATAGGCCTAGTCCTTCTGAACCTAACCCACCCTTGTGAAAATTTTCGTGAGGATCGGATTGTAGACTCTATATAATAACTCCAACCTGTGTTCTAAGGTGAAAAAATATTACAAAATATTAAAAAAATAGCATGCGATAAAATATATTAATAAATAAAAAAATGTCACAAATGCTACAAAATCTATATTAACATCATTATTAGCATTTTTAATACGATTTTTTTAGATTTTTTCCTTTTAAGCCAAGAGGCCATTCTGAATTGACAAAATTTGTCAAAATCTGTCCAGCCATTCTTGAGATATAAACATTCTAGCTAATATCCACTTCCTTTGTATATATTTCGCTATATATATCCGATATATTTAATATCGGCATCCACGTAACAGAATTGACCTGTTCGCCTTTTTATGATTTCGCCCTGATTAAAAATATTCGCGGTTTAATGGAAAGTTTGACTTTTTAACACAAATGTTATGATATATTTCACGTACTAAATATTACCCGATGACCATCAAAATTGGGAGACTTCTACCCAGCCCTAAGCTCTAGCCCCATGCTATTGGTCCATAATTACGACCTGTAGAGCAACTGCAAAGTCAGGAAATTTTTCAGTTTTTGGTCCATTTAAACCCCTAAATATTATGCGATCATCTCCAAAAGCAATAGGCTTCTATTCTGGCCCTAGCCCAACCTACATTCTAAATTTCATGCGACCTATAGAGTGATTACAAATTAACATGGACAGACGGACGGACATACATAGCTAGATCGACTCAGCTCGGCGAGATAGGATGATCCATATATACTTTCCTATGTGGGAAACCAATATTTCGTGGTGTTACATAATTTTTGGCCCAATCAAACTTATAATAACCATGACACATAGTGTTGTAGGGTATAAAATTTGGGCAAACCTATATTTCAAAAATTGTCAATTGGCCATATAAAGGGAATATAGCTTAAAAATGGACTGTCATGTTCTTATTTTTCAAACCATGATTTTGATGTAATCCAAAAGCTCTAAAGCATATTTCAAAGCTATATGGGGGTCCCGTTGCGCAAGGTATAAGCTACATAAAAGTCGCGAAATACATTTGGCCCATCAAACCAATTTTCTGGTCTAAACATTGTACCCTGTAAAAGCTCCTCGCAAATTCCCACAAGCCAGATTGGCTGCTGTCGCGAATTCGGAATTAGTGCTAAATTTGTTTAAAACAAAAAAAAACTTTCTCAAAATTTATGATGTATTTTTAAGTTTAATTATAAAATGTTTGACACTTTCCCGAAATTTATATACTACTAGAAAGTACCCGCTATTTCGTCTGCGATAAGTCCACCTTAAAATGTTAGATACCTTCATCCGATTTATTATACTCTCAGCCATATGGCTACATTTTTTACAAGCGTACAAAGCAGTAGCAGAAAAATGGCTTGTGAGCTGAACATATCGCAATATTCCATTCGGCATTGGCCGTTTTAAGGCCATAATTCGCGCCAAAGGTGACCAGTTCGAACAAATCTAAGCTTATTCTAAAATTTGATGCTATTTCCGATATGTTTTGCTTTTTTTCAATAAAATTAAAAAAAAAAAAATTAAAAATTATGGCGTTTGACTTTGTTGCAGTTTTTTATCTCATCCTGTACACAAAACTGGATTTAAATAATTATTGAACACCTCAATATTTGTATCAGCATTAGTATTATCTGTTTCAATACATCCATTTTGTTCTACGTTCTCCACAAAAGTTCAACATTTTTAAAAAATATGTGGAACTAATGAAAATAAGGGGAGGAAGTAGTCGATATAGTCCAGGCACGTATTCGATATAATTATATCAGACTCCTTCGGTACCATTCCTATAAGGGTATTATCAAACATAAGCTGAGAGTATATAGCCGACAGATACTTTTTGACTAGCTTTTTTTTTTGAAACTCAAACGTTTGGTTAAAAATTTACCCTACGGAAGATTTATCCATGCTCTATGAGAGCTATAACCAAATCTATGCATTTTGAAGAATTTATTCACTTTTGAATTCCATGGTTTTTGGCATTTGTGATTTACAATTCCATTAAGACATTACGGTACTGTACGACTTAAGTTATTTTAATTTTGTAACGGATAGAAAACAATCCTGCAATGTACTTCAAATCCTTGAATAACATTTTGCACATATTTGTGCACCTCTTGGTGGATGTTAAATGAAATATAATAAGTAAAAAAACTCTTAAGTTCAACCGGGCCCTGTACTATTTGGAAATGCCCTGTACTATTTGGAAATAACTTGAAAAACTTAAAAAAAAAATCGTCGAAAAATGGGGTTTATACGAAGACGAGGACCTGCATACGCAATTTTTTGTCATAGCCTGTAATAAGGGAGATACTGTTATATAGAGGGTATACGAAAACGTGGAACTGGATAGACAATTTTCTGTCATAGGTTGAAGTATCCATCAAGGTCTTTCAATACGAAATTCAAAGCAATTCTGGGCTATAATATAAAAAGTCCACGTTCTTGTTTTCCATTTTTTGTGTCTTCTTTTATAACTGACAAGTTTATACGGAATCTGCAAAGAGCTATTGAGGTTTCCTGCCGAAAATATTTTTAAAATATTAGCTTGCTGTGTTTGTTGACCAATTTCCAAAGAAATTGTTATTTTTCCTGAAAATTGATATTCTTTTCAGCCCCACTCCCTCCCTATAACCATTCAGCATTTTCTGTCTTTTTAACAAAAAAAATTGTATGGCATATTTAGAAATCACATTCTTATGCGAAAAATTAATAAATAACAAAGGAAATATACGATTTCTTCCCCAGCACAAATAACTACAAATATCAATGACAATTTCGTATGGCTCAGATTACGTTTTCCAATCAGGACATATTTTATGAGCAGACTCCAATAGTGTAAACATTTGCTAACAATGATTTCTGTTTTCGCACTTCCACATGATTTCTTTTTAGCTTCATTTCACTTCACTTCCATTCGATTCGTATCGTATCGCATCGTATGGCATCGTCTCGTTTCATTTCAATTCTATGAGGATTTGTTAGATTGAAAAATGACTTACCGTTAAAAATTCCATTACTTGATTGGCATAACATTCGTTTTTAAAAACTGCAAACATATGGAGATTATCATCAACAGCATCATCGTCTTATGGATTGTTCGAATGCTGCTGCTACTGTTGCTGCTGGTGCGGCCATCGAGGATACCATAAATCCCAAAAAATTCGTACAATTCGAATCCGGGGGAATGAAGAACGAGGCGACAAAGGACACATAGAAAGAGAAAGAGAGAGAGAGAAGGAAACAGATATTATGAAAGTCAACATCAACAGGAAAATAAATCGAATGGTAAACAGGAAGACAATGACGACACTGACAATAATGGATGGAGAATAAATCGAAAGGGACGTTATAATGGATGTTTCATAAATATCATTGTCCTCAAGTAGCCGAGGAATCGTAAGACGACGCTCAAAAGATTTTATGTGCCATACAACAATACAACATGATGAAGAATGGTGATGTGGTTGTTGTTGCTGTTATTGTCGTGTATGCGTTAAATTCCCATAATTTATTGTATATTAAAAATGTTTTGTTTTTTTATTTATTCGGGTATGTGTTTGTATAGCCGTTGCGTATTTGTATTTGGAACTCAAGCAGAAACACGAACACAAGTGTACCATGAAATATGATCTTGATCTTTCATTACCATTAGGAGATTACCAATTTGGACTTAACATGTCTTTACAGTGATATGTTATGGCGAACAGTGATGTTAACAGACACGATTAGAATGACGTATGATAACAGTTTGTGGAACATGGAGAACCAGAAAAAAACTTCGGATTTGTATGAGTTGAATAATCCGTTAAAAGGCAGACATAATAAGGACTAAAAATATCAAAATTTGGCAAAATTCATTGGAAACGTCAAAAAGTGAAAAATACTGGAAAATCAATGGAATGGACAGATATGTCCTATTTCTTATCAACGGTTCTGGGTGTAAAACAAAGATCTCTATCATATTTCAAAACGCTATCCTAAATATTGCGAAGTATATCTGAAAATATAGGGGTCCCTTTGTGCACTGTCAAAGCTATATAAGGGCCTTAACAACATTTGGCTTAGGAACCTAGGATTCCCTTGGGGTTTCGATTAAAAAAGAGCACTATCAAGTCTACTTGGCACTTTCCACAACCCAGGCTGGCTATTTTACTGTGAAGTTATAAGAAAATTTAAAGGGAATTGGGAAAAAGTGCTGAAATTTTCAGAAATAAACAATGTTTCTTATTAACAACCAGTAACGAAATGTCAAAAGTCCGGCAGGCCGACTACATAATGCCCTACACATGGTGGTTTCAGAGGCAACTAATATATGGGAGGTATATCCAACTCTGAATCGATTTTCAACAAATTTGACGGAACCTTTTGTACCTCTCGTACCAAATAAGTATACCAAAAAATTTCTTCACCAAATGGAAAAATTCAGTTGAATGTGAAAAAAATCTATCCAATTTGGGCTGATCGGAAGCTATATCCAAATCTGAACCGATCTCCATGAAATTTGAAACAGGTATTTCTGAGCTATATCTGATGGCCGGTACCAAATGTCATTCTTGTGAAGGGCATATTACAACTGTGAGGGACTTTAACGCCAAATCGGATGAAACATATATATGGGGGCTAAAGCTATATCTGAACCGATTTTCACCAAAGTTAAAGTACTTGCAATACCCTATATCACATAGTGGTGAGGGTATTAAGCCTTTGTGAGTTTGCTTGTAACATGGAGAAGCAAGCGAGAAAGACCCATAGTAAATTTTTAAAGGATCTTCATAGAATCATTTACTGAGTCGATTTATGCATGTCAGTCCGTACGTCCATGTATTCTTATGAACAAAATGCAGGTCGCATTTATTATCCGATTGAGATGAAATTTTCCAAACAATATTTGTTTGGCTCAAGGACGAACCCTATTGAAATTGACGAGAATCAGTTTAAATTTAGAAATAGCTCCCATATATATCTATAATCGATTTCGCGTTAATTGTGCACCAAATGGCTAATATCAACTCTAATGGACTGAATTTTGGCAAATCTGATCTTATTCAGTTTAGAAATAAATACATCAAGTCAGGTGAATATCGGTTCAGATATAGCTATAGTTCCCATCTATATGTTTCATCAGATTTTTTTGTTAAAATCTCTCACGTGCGTTATATGCACTCCACAACAAGGATATTTCATATCGGACATCAGATACGGCTCGAAAATACCGCTGCCAAATTTTGTCGAGATTGGTTCAGATTTGTTTATAGCTTCGATATACATCTTCATCCGATTTTACGGTTATTGTCCACCATAAATGTAATATTGGCCCAAATTGGATAGATTTTTTCATATTTAACCGAATTTTCCCGTGTGGAGAAAATCGGTTCTTATCGAAGTCATATCAAGTACTATACAGCAATGCCTTCGTCAAATTTGTAAAAAATGGATTCAGAGTTGGATATAGTTCCCAAATTGTGACTACTCTAAAGGCATGACACGCATTTAAATTAGGTTCATATAAATTTTCAATATAATTTTTTTTTTTTTTTTTTGTTACGGAAGCTCTACTAAATACACAGTGGTGTAGGGTATCATGTAGTCGGCCCCTCCTGACTTTTGACCTTTCTTTACTGTTTGAAAATTTTGAAGTTTTTAGGGGACATACCAAAAATAGTGGTCCGACATATTCCATATTTACATTAAATCCATTGTTGATAGAAATATTGAAATACACGATGATTGTAAAAAATCGATATTAAAACTGTTGACACCTTGGGGGGAAGGTCCCTACCCACGTATGATGGTGGGATGCACCTGAAGAAGTGGACCGGGCTCTGATGTCACATTATATAAGAGTTATGATCATTCGAAATTTTGACCCATAATGGATGAGGTACTAGAATGTGTAGTTCGACATCGTCCATTTTCACATCTGACCTATTACTGATGTAAAAAGAAATTTATTTCCAAGTTTATGCAAATAGTTGTTAATCAAAATGTACATCTTTATGAGGAAGGCACCAGAAGGAGTTGGCAGAAAAGTCTCTTATATACATCAGATCTCTAGTTGAGAAATATATTTAGGTATACAAAGTTTGATCAGAATTGCTGATTTGCTCGGCAAATTATGTGAGATACAGGTATTGAAAATTGTGGGGAAAGGGGTGGACCGATATCTTATATCTTCGCACCAGATTTTGTGTTAATAGAAATATTGTGATGGGTGAAATTTGAAGGGAACGAGATGCTTACTTTGCATTAATGAGCGTTTTGGTTATTTATAGATTTATCCTGTGATGGAGGAGGTACCATAAAGAGTGACCCGACATATCCCATCACCAGAAATTGTGTTATTTTAAATATTGGCATATGCCGAGTTTTGAAATAATCGGATGCTCATTTCCCATTTTATGAGAGTTACAATTATTCAAAATATTTACCATGACATAGAATTGATGTAAATATTGGGATTCAATAAGTTTGCCCAAAATTGCATGATCCATTATAGTTCTATTGGGAAAATTATTTTCTGTGAAAAATAGAACAGTGTTGGCATGTGTGTTCGGGATACCATAGTATTTTGTTGTTGCCAAATGGTCAGGCTTAATCCTAATATTGATGTTTTTATAAAAACAATGTTTGTTGGAGAACGATTTTAATGTTTACCAGGGAGTGAGGAGGTAATACCTAGGTTTCGAAAAGAGCCACCAATCCTTATCAGTTCTCTTTTTATTTGTCTGGGATATTCTCCTCAGAAGTTATTTTAAAAATAACTCCTATGAAAAAAAAACTTTTTTCACCTACGTGACGAGATCGTAAGCTCAATAGAAGAGGAACCAAAGAATTACATAAAACTAAAATTGTTTTGGAAAATCTTCTTAATCTTACAATCGCACTTATAAACATTTTCATCTTTATCCACTTGTGAAAAAGTTTACCTTTTGTGTGGAGGTTTTTGATGGTGTGGGCCGATATTGCCCATCTCCGAACTCGATAGAAGTTTTAGAATAATATGACGATGTATCAAATTCGGATGAAATCGGATACCCGCTAGAGTTTTTTTTTAATTTTCCCGCCCTTTAGAGACATAATTTCCCTACCTACGACAAGCATATTTCCAAGAATTATGAAGCATTTAAGACATCAGAAGGCTAAGTTATTGATGCCTAAATGTTAATGAAATTTGACAAGTTTTGTCGGGCAAGAAAATGTCATTACAAAAGCTGGAGGCTCACAAAAATTTAGACGTATGCCAATTTCCATTAAACTTGCCTTTAATAAATTTATACGTACGAATATATTGAGATATATACTTATATTTAACCAAATAATCTAATATTATAAAAAAATTATTTATTAAAATATAGCGATTGTCATAATGAACCCATTCCGGAAAACCTCAATGGGCGGGCAAAGAGATCCACTCTGATATTAAATTCGGTTACTCTCTTCCATTTTTAGTTCAATATCTCACCTAATAACTTAACGGTGCCGTTGTAATGGTAATAGAGTAGTAACTTCCTGCGAAAGCTTATGATTGAGTGAGTAAATAAATTTATCTCAAAATACCAACATTCGCACAACATGAATATTTATGGGAATTGTTATTCATTTATTTTCTCTTATTTTTTTGGAAGAATGTTAACATTCCAACTGAACATCAACAGCTGTAACTTTGTTGGAATCCGTGAATTCTCCGCGTTACATTTACGTTTATTCAAATAAATGTCTTGCGATTCCCGGCGACAAGGTCATTGAAATTATCATCATATTTCAAATGGATTTTTGCCAAAGTGAATAACATCAGTGAACAAAAAAAAAAAAAAAAAGACGTCTTTAGCGCCTTAGCAACAAATGATGATTTTCAGAGACCAAAAAAAATGTTATGAGACAGGAAATACATGAAATGCTATGGAGAACATGAAGGGAAAAATGTATTTGGTTTTTGTTGGTTGTAACATTAAAATAAATTCTTCGGATCAGCTGAAGCTGAAATGATCTAATTAAGAAACCACGTTTCACACGCATTTTGGTGGGTTTTTTACTGTACATTAACGCAAATGTTGTAAATTGTGTTAAATCAATATAACGACAATGTGGAATTAAAGCTTTGGATAAAGAATTGCACAAT